TCAAATTCACATAAATCAGAAACACAGTTTGCAAATTTACTGTTAAGAGTATTATATGGGACACTCTGTTCAGTCCGATATTTAATAGAAGCATCATGGAAACTGTCTCTCAGCTTTACATTGACGTTTCTTTCCAGATGTTTGCAGTAGTTTTAAGAGTTGCTTCCTGCCTTCAAACAGAAGAATGCTAGCTGCCATGGCAGAATTCAAGCTGTCCACATCAGGAACAACGGGAATAAAGAGCCTGTGGCCGTCAGTTTTCTCTGCCAACTGGACTGCTTCTAGGCTCAAACCATTCGTCTCACCACCTATCACAAGAGCAGTTGGGCTTTGAGCCCAACTGTCATAGTACAGCTTAGTGTCCACTCTGGGGAGTGAAAGTCCCTCATGTTCAGAGTCCGAATCAGAATCCTCGTACTCCATGTTTTTGCGGTTGGGTCTTGAGCTGACCCAGCCGTAATCTCCAGCTTTGGAGGGTTCAGGAGACACATTAACCTCTACTTCTCTACTTCTGTCAGCCACGTGGACAGTCACGGGTTTAGGGAGATGGTTTTCAACATCATCCCAGTCAAGGCTGGGATAGATGGGAAGGCGGAAATGGGCGCCCATTGCTGCACGGAGAACTTTAGGCTCCCAAACATCCACACAACCTGTTTGAAAAAAATGCAAAGTTCCCAAAATTCAAAGGAAGGTTTCACAGGATTATTAATTTGATCTCTAATAATTACTGTAAACCTACCCTTTGTGAGGAGGGCATTATGACAGCCAGCAGCAGCAGCACATCGCAGCATAGTCCCGAGATTCCCAGGATCCCGGATGTTGTCACATATCAGAGACAAAGGCACTGAGTGACCTTTACTTGCAAAGTTTAACCGTGCCGGATCTGGGCGAGAAAATATCGCTGCAGAAGAAGAGGTCAGAGTCAGAAATAATTGAGATATTAGTGCTTCATCATGAGCCAAAAAAGAAAATCTGACCCTTACCGATCACTCCCTGTGGGGCTACAACGTCAGACCAGAGCTTGATGTCCTCAAACTTGACTTTCACTAGTGTGGCCCTTCTCAGCTTATCTAAGGGCAGCTCTCTGAGTCGATCCACCGTGCTGAAGAACACAGTCTGTGGTTTAGCACCAGCATCCAGGGCGTCACAGATCAAACGCCTGCCTTCAAGAAGGATTTTACCTTGGTGGTCCCGAAATGTCCTGGAACGAGCCACACTCACTAACCTCCTAGAGCAGAGACGTGGAGAAAGAGGAGGAGAAGGAAGGAATGGCTTCAGAAGGATGAGGACAGCTACAAAATCTATGTCTACCTTGAGACAAGATGTTGATGGAGGCCCACATGCACCCGGGTGTCCTGACATACATACTGCAGTTCTTGACCTTCTCATAAAATTACACAGTTCCTCTCTTGGCACCCTATCATATCCTTTCTCTAGATCCACAAAGTTACAGTCCGACTACTTCTGACCATCTCAATATTTCTCCATCAGTTCTCTCAAAGCAAACATCACATTTGTACTGCTCTTTCTCACTCACTGACCATCACCTCTCTCGTTAAATAAGCTTCAAAAACTCTTTCCCACATCTCCATGGTATGGCTCATCAGCTTTATCTCTCTGTGGTTGCTACATCAACTTTGTTCTTGCTGTATTCCTAATAATTGTGCTTTTGTTTTGTATGCCAGGGCCCATGGCCTCTGGCTCAATCACCTCTGCTACTGCCCTCACTCGGTGAGACTTACGCCAGTCTTTTATCTCCAGGCGAAGCCCTCTCATAGCGCAGTCCGTCCACTTCATTCTTTGTCACAGTAAAAGCATGTTTCGTAGCTGACTGCTCATCAGTCCTCGTCCTGACAGAGTTTCTCTCTTCGTGATGCTGTGTTCCTGCAGATATGATTCTTCCCCTGGTCTCCCTCTGGATCTTTGGCTCGTCTGACTGAATCTGAGGCACCTTTACGACTTTTCCCGTCTCGTTTTCAGGAAACAGCACTCTGACAGGTTTCCTCCTCAGTCCGCGTACATACCGTTTTGATTCCACAGTGACACAGCTCCTGGTTGTTAGGAAAGCATGTCGCTCTATCATGGAAATCAAACAGATCATGCTTCTTGTGTACGCTGCCATTTTGCCTGCTTTCTTCTTCTCTCATCTGTCAGGATGTTTCAAAAATACAAGCTAACCCGCCTAGCGCCACCACCTTTTAATAGCTGATATTGCGTTTACAAATTAAAAATAAACCAAACACATTTGGTGGCGTTATTAATGTAATTATTTAATAACATAATGTGTTACAAATTGTTAAACGGGTCCTATAGTAGCCGTTTTTTGTTTGTTTTTTTACATTTATTGATGCTTCAAACTTGACGCTTGATCATAATCTCGCGAGAAAACAATGACACATTGGTCAAACCATTAACCTGAGCAGTTAGGGGGGGATTGTGAATTTTATACATTGTACTTTAACGTACAGTCGCCGTTCTTTGCTTTAATACTAGAGAAGCACTAATAATAACGACAGGTGGTGTAACACATTATCCAGCGGTTGTTTTTTTTTCGTTTTGTAGTTTTACTTGCAAATACCCGGTATGTGTTCATTGGTTATTACCAGTCGAGCACAGAAAAATCGATACGACCACAGGTAGCACGGCTGTCATCATGGCTTTGAGACGAGCGTTGCATTTTGTTTTCAAAGTTGGTGACAGGGCTAAAACTGCTACCTTTTACAGAGATGTTCTAGGTATGAAGGTAAGTTTTCTGAGCTGCATTTAAATGTAGGATTGGACTGAAGCCGCCGTAGACTAGCAGCTTTTGCTGACGTCGGATAATTTCAGGGTTGCACAACCTGAGCAAATTTCCATAGTTATCATTGTATAAGTGGAAGTGGACATCACTGAATTGTAATGTTCTCACTACTTGTTATTTATTTCAGATTTTAAGACACGAAGAGTTTGAGGAAGGCTGCAAGGCAACTTGTAATGGGTATATAAGACACAACTCCAGTTGAATCTTGAGCTCAGTATAATGCTAAATAAAAGTCCTGTGGGGGAAAAAGTATTTGCCACCTTCCTGTTACACTTTCATGTTTCAGATCAAGGTCAAACAAATCAGGGCTTAGTGAAACGATGTATTGCCCCCTAAACCTAATAACTGGTTATGCCACCTTTACGAACTGTAATCAAGCGTTTAAGATAACGGTCAAAAGGTCTTTCACGTCACTGTGGAGGAATTCTGACCAACTCTTCTTTTCAGAATTGTTTGAACTCAGCCACAATGGATGGTTTTCCCACATGGACAAAACGCTTTAAGGTCTGGACTCTCTCCCTCCTTTTTTAAGCCATTCAGAGATAGACTTGCTAGGGTGTTTTGGTCTGTTTCTTATTGTTGAATCATGAACACTGACCTTAAATGAGGCAAGGGAAACGTGCAGTTCTTTAAATGTTGTTCTGGGTTCTTTAGTGACTAGATTAGTTGTTAATGCACTCCTGGAGGAATTTTGGTAGGCTGGCCACTAATGGAAAGGTTCACAACTGTTTAAAGTTTTCTCCATTTGTGGATAATGGCTCTCACCATGATTTACTGGAGTCCCAAATCCATACAAAGGGCCTTGTAATGCTTTCCAGACTGATAGTGTTAGTCACTAACTGAACTATCAGTGACTTTTTTTCAAATGTGTTTCTTTAGATCATGGCATGATGATGTGTTTCTTTTAGATATCTTTCAGCCAGATTCTGTTAGGTCTGTCTCATTTTTTAAAAAACATTGCCAGTGGATATTTTTTTTAATTCACTCAGGTTATCGTTGACTAATATTAAAATTTGTTTGATGGTCTAATAAATATCACTGTAACAAACATGCAAAACATACAAAATCAGGAAGAGGGCAAATATTTTTTCACAGGACAATGCAGATGTTGATACACTAGTGGTAAACCTGCCTTCACCCCCTACCCATACAGCCCTTATGATGGGAAATGGAGCAAGACAATGGTTGGCTTTGGTCCAGAGGATGACCATTTTGTTGCTGAACTGACCTACAACTATGGTGTGGGAGAATATAAACTTGGCAATGACTTCTTGGTGGGTGAGAGTTTGTTTTCACATTGCATGCAGGAAAAGATTGTCTTGTTATTCAGTGTACAGTGGCAATAATGGGATATTTGTACGTGGGTTTTCATGTTAGGGGATCACTCTGCAGTCGAGCCAAGCTGTAAGCAATGCTAAATGTCTCGGGTGGCCTCTCACTGAGGTGGGAGAGGCTCTGTATCTGACTCAAGCTCCTGGAGGCTATCCTTTCTATCTGGTGGACAAAGAGCAACCTCATAATGGTGAGTGTCACACAAGTCAAATCTGCCTGCTTCTTCTTTAGCTTCTTCTTCTTTTTCTTGGGTTTCTAGCAGGCTGGATGCAACAAAGGCATATTGTTTTTTTGGGGGGGGGTGTTGCTTCATAAACCTCCATCAAGGATCAAATCCTTACATGCAGTCTGGTATCCACAAACTTAAATTAATACTTTGTAACTTCATATTGATCAGAGTTCAATATTGACTTTAGAGAAAAGGCTGTAATATCCATTCTTGACAGTTCTGATCACGTAGGGTTTCTCTCCATGACATAGTTGGAGCGATCTATCAAAACCTGCTTACGAGTTTCCATCTCCTCACATGTGCCACACATGTTCCACATATGGATGCTTCCTCACTAGTGACAGCTGTTAAATCTGTCTCTGACCCTGTATGAAAAAAGGCATATGATCCCTGAGCTGGAATCAGAATCAACAGAATTAACAGAATTAATCAATTATGTGGAAAAAGTGTAAGCAGGTGCTGGGTAAGAATTTTAAGGAGACCCAGATGTCTAAAGTATAGCAACTCAATTCTGAATCTTATTTCTTTTAAGGGTTTATTTGTGCACATCCAGAGTCACTTTCCAGCAGTCATAAAGCGTGATTATCTAAACACGGATGATCTGATATCGTCGTGTTGGTGTTGTTCCTGGAACAACATAGTAAATGTTGTTTCAGGATCAACATTGCAAGTGACCAATCACATTGTTGTGACGTTTTATTCTTTGGCGCGCCAAGCCATTCGTGCACTTATGAAATTCTGCTTAGCGTTTATTAACTCATTCACTGCCAGCCATTGGCAGTGAATGAGTTAAACCCATTGACTCATTCACTGCCATTGACGGCTATAGACGTCAATGGCAGTGAATGAGTTAAAGGGTCAGGGTCCGTTGATCGGCGGACAGAGGCGGTTTCTCGCAGCTTAAGTACAGTTTTTTGTTTTACGGCGGTTTTTCCCGAAGTCGCAAAAGTATGACGTCACAACATTCTGATTGGTCACTTGCAATGTTGATCCTGGAACAACATTTACTATGTTGATCTGGGAACAACACCAACACAACCATATCAGATCGTGCGGTCAAATAAGTCAAAAGATATAGACCAAAAACAAATGCCCATTGCGGAGGACATAAATTAATAGGCTGGTTCTCAGGAGTGTATATATTTATTTTTTCATATGCAGCCGATGACACACAAATGTAGTGTGTTCACACAGTGGTTTGATCCCCTGCATGTATCCTTAGCGCAAGATACTGAACCCTGAGTTGCCCCGGTGTGTGTGTCTGTGTGTGTGTGTGAGAGAGGTTAAAAGAGACAATTTTATGAATATGTGTGTTTATGGCTGAATGCAGCTTGCAGTAAAAAAGTGCTGTAAGTGCTCAAATAGAGTAGAAAAGGACTACAGAAGTACCCATCTGTTAACCTGTTAACCACTTACTTTCTGTAATCTGTTCCCAGACCCTGTGCAGAAGGTTTGTCTCGGGGTATCAGACCTCCAAAGATCGACCCACTACTGGTCCACACTCTTGGGGATGAAAGTGATGGACAAAAATGAGGAAAAGAAGACGGTGCTCATGGGATTTGCAGACAGTCAAGTGAGTCAAAGAAATTAAATGTTAAACCCTAAGATAAGTTTAAAATAGTTCTATTGTTGAAGTTTGAATTGTATGTTTTGCGGTTTAGGTTGATGCCTGAGTAATATGTGTCAAATTTTTTGTAGTGCAAACTGGAGCTTCAGGACATTGGAGGGATGGTTGACCATGGAACAGCTTTTGGGAGAATAGCGTTTTCATGCCCGCGGGAGCAAGTAAATTATTATTTTCTAAACGGCTAATGTCAACTTGCAGATAAATTATTTCCAACAACATTATAATGAGATATTATTATGCTCCTCAGCTGCCGGTTATTGAAGCCTTGATGAAAAAGGAAAATCAGAAAATTCTCACCCCATTGGTCAGCTTGGACACTCCTGGAAAAGCTACAGTAGAAGTGGTTATTTTGGCTGACCCTGTAAGCACGTTCCCAAAATAATGCTGAAATGATGTCAAATTCATTAAGTTAACAATATTAAACGTAAAATGTTTGCTTTAGGATGGCCATGAGATTTGTTTTGTGGGAGATGAGGCCTTTAGGCAGCTTTCCATGTTGGATCCCAAAGGGAATGAATTCCTTGATAAGGTTGGTGTTACTATAACACATAGCCCTCAAATGCTTATCCAGCATGTGTCAGATATTCACTGTGCTTGTCATCCTTTTAACACTTTTCAGGCTATGGCTGAAGATAAAAGTGATGAATGGTTTGCCAAACACAACAAACAGAAGACTGCTGCATGAGATGGAGCAGCCGACCTGTCAGTTTTCATCAGTTAATGAGGATGAGATGCCGCACAACGCACCTGTAGCATAGATCTGCCTTAGGCTGGCAGCGTAAGATTAATTTTGTGTTATGTAAAAACATTTGTGCCCTGAGATGATGTAATGGACCACTTGTTATGGATTTTTTTCCCCAATAAATATTCTTCCTAAAAGCAAGGCTGAGTGATGGGCAAAAAACATTAAGTCAGTTTTATCTATAAAAGACATTTCAATGTGATCTTAATTTTAGGCGAAAAGGGGACACTGAGAGAAGTTGGGGCCAACTTAATCTCATAATAAAGTATCACCAGGACTTCATAGCTTAAATTTGGTCTTGCACCTCTACTGAGTCTCCACCAACCTTATGTGCAAATTCCTCTTACAGCTGTAGTAAAACAACATGTTTGCACAGTTCCTAACTGATTTTGTGGTAATTATAAAACACAGATTACTCAATGGGCCCACCATGTACAGGCTCTATGGGCTTTTGGTCTTATCCTAGAAATATGACATATCCAATAACGAGCCACAAAACAACAGAAATGAGGCGCAAAAAGATATGTACAAGGACTGCAAAGACATAAGATGGATACACTCAGATGCAAAAATGACCAAATGACATCTGCATGGTCTGTGGTTCTCTCTTTCAGTTCTGTTGTTTGTGCACGTGAACCTGTTGTTTTATATTCTATCCATGTCTACCTGTATTTAGAAAACATGTGCCATATACCATAATAGAAAATAAAGGTTTTATATGTATAATTAAGGAGAATTTGCCTGATTTTGTATGTTCTTCCTCATAAGTTGAAGCATTTTGCATATATGCAAACAATCAAATGACCAAAAGGCTGGCAGGTGCAGGGATGTTACCTGAGAATGTAGAAATACGTTTTTTCCCTAAGGGGGATGGCAGAGGAGACTTGTGTGCACAATGGGAATAAACTGTTTATTTGGTATTTGTAAAACTGATGTATGACTGGAATAAAGGTTGCGCATTTTATTTTCGTGCTTGTTTATGGATTAATTTAAAGTTGGTGTGAACCGCTGAATAATGTGTGACTGTTTAGTTAAAGATTACTTGCTTAGACAGCGTTACTGGCCAATTCCCAGCTCCGCTCCCACCACTGCGCTCCACCGAGCTGCCAGCTGAGCACGGCGAGCCGGAGAACAGTGTTTACTAAGCTCTGAGTCAACTGTCACATGAAACTGCTCTGTCTGCAGCGTTACACTGCGCTGCGACAGCTCGGTGTTGTGAATATGTCAGGGTAAGTGAGTTTTGTAAGAGAGTGAGGTCAAAAAGACCAAAGACGACCAACAGGCGCAAAAAAGAGTGCCAACTGGCAGTTCCGCTAAGTTAGCGGTAGCGTTAGCGGTAGCGTGCTACAGTGCTAGCCCAGATTTGCTTAAGATTTTTGGATGACGCGGCGGCAAATTTCGTTAACTGTTTAGTGCTGGGTTACTGGCTAATGCTGCTGCTGCTTGGCAGTGAGTGTTTCTCACTGGCGGCTTGGTAATGGGAAGCAAGTTTTAGTAGAGGTTTGTGTTTTCTTTACACTGTTAGCTGAGCGATAAAGTTTAGCTAGGTGCTATTTCGTAGTCGGTTTGTAATTACACTGTAGTTAATTAGCGGTGTTAGCTCTGTGAGGCTAGCTGTTAACGTTTTCCACAACGAACGGTTGTTAACTTGTGTAGGAAGTGTTGCCTCAGCTAATTACAGTTATAGCAACTATTTGCAAGCAGTCGGTGTCACCTATCAGTAGTGAGTGGCACCTGGATATTGTGCTTAAGTACATCTCTTCCTCTTTGACAGCAGCTGAGAGAAGATAAGGAGCAGCCAGACTCATGTCCCAAGATTTGGGTGTGAACAACTAGAGACACAATGTCTCTCCTGCTGATATCATTATTTTTAATCTTTTTGCTGGCTATTGGTGTGCTGTGTGCCATTTTCAGGTGAGGAATGTGTGGAAATTTCTACAGTACAGCGATCATTGGTATGGTTTAAACTGCAAGCACTGCTTAATAGATGTTTCCTTGCTCTCCTCATTTAAAGTAGCACATTTTCCCGCTGTTCTAGGTGGCTCATATGTACCCTGGCTGTGCGATTCTTCCAAACTACCCTCAATGCTCATCTGAAGATTAAATCAGTAGGATTTTTTTCTGTCCAAGGAGTCAGTATCCAGTTTCACCCCCAGCATACTTTGGTAGGACACGTTTTTGTTTACATGACATTTGTGTAGTCGGCACATGCTAAACAACCACTCCCATGTCAATGGTTCACTTCTGAGTTTGTGTACTTTACCATCTATCAAATGTATTTTTTTTATCTTGCTGTAATTCTGTGAATGGCAGGAAATTGACAGGATATGGATTTCAAGTAAACTTCTAAACCAGGATTTACCGTAAGTAGCTTAATGTGTTGCCCAGATAGTCTGAGATAAAACAGTTAGCAGCAAATAATATCATAAGTCGTGTTTCAGGCGATACCTGGCATTCTGTGTTGGAGAAACCAGAGTCCGGTTTGACTTGCAAGCACCACTAAAACCTTTGGTGAAGCAGAGCCATGGAAAAAAGTCGGCGAAGATTTCTGTCAGCCCCAAAACGCTTCGATTCTTGTCACAAGTATGAAGGCTGGCGATAAGTTAACATTTCTTTTTATGCTTATTTGTACACAGTATCTCACTTCCTGTTTTGTATTTTCAGTTGCTGTCATTCCACATCAGCTCCATCAACGTGATGGTCCTAAACCTAGCACTGCCAGAATCTCTATGGCACATGACTGTTGCAGGTATCACCTTGTTACTTGACCACCAGAGTAAAAGGTATTATTTATTTTTGGTTTATAACTAATCTGACTGAATCAATAGTTTGTATTAGTTGTCCAAAATGAAATCCATGTTGAAAAATTTCTTTACAGGTTGGCATGGAACTTCTCGGTTGGACAACTAAGCAGTAAAGTGCTCAAAAGCAGTGAACTGGTGAGTGGAGTAACTGTCACTGAAATAGAAACAGGTGGTTGAATGTTTGTAAATGATGTGCTCTCCATTTTAGGACATATGTTTGGCTGAAGTGGCACTTAGCCTGTTGCTATCTGGAGATGTGAGTTTACCAGAGATGAAGCCAGGTTGTCTGTCCCTGAGTGTGAGGACTCTAATGGCAGAGCTGCACGAGGGGCTGTTCCTCAGTCAGCTCCAGCTTCCAGCAGTTTCCCACAAAGAGAAAGATCATGGTGCATTTGGTGAGTAACGTTTGACCTCTGAAATGGAAGCAATGATTTTTAAGTATAGTGTTTATCCATCACATTCATTTGCATTCCTTCTTTTCTCCAAATTGTAATCTATAGTACTGTGCAAAAGTCTTGAGCCACCTCTCATTTCTTTGTATGTTGCTTCCAAGGAGTGAGACTGTTGTAATTTTTCAAAGTGGTCTTGAGCAATACTTCTCCAGGCGTTCTGAAAGTATTTTAATGTTTTTTTAATGGACATTGGCTGCTTGTTCCCTCATTTTCAGTCCAGTCCTTGTAAATGACCATTTTCAGAGGAATGTTTTTGCTGTTAAACCCCTTAACATTGATCATTCAAGCTTTTTTTTTTTTTTTTAAAGGGATGAGCCAGTGTTGTGTCTACACATTTCAGACAACTTAGCAAAGAACCAGTTTTAAACTGTATCTTTAGGCGCTTTATTTGTTCCTCTTTTTTTTTTATTGACTCTACAAAAAATGCCAAACATGACACAGTTTGGCAAACATAAAATAGTATTTTTGCACTAACAAGGTGATTCCCAGACAGTTATTAGCCAAATATAATGAATATCTGTGCATGGTGTGCAGTGTGTCCTTAAAAAAAACATCTGATGAAACTGCACAGGTGGAGGGCAAATTAAAGTGTGAAGCCTAAAAAAAAAAAAAAAAACTACCTACAACTGATGAACAGTCTGGACAGACACAAAGGCACATCCCCCGTCTCTACAGACCTTAATAGTATTGTCGTATCATCTTGACAGAGAACAAAACACAAAACAACTAGTGTCCAAAGAAGAGTGTTGAATGTCCTCCCAGAAGCCTGGAGAAGTATTTCTAAAGACTACTGAAAGAAATTACTAGAAAGCTTCCCTAAGTGTTCAAGCTGTTTTGAAGAATAATGGTGGCTATACCAAATATTGACCTTCAAGCTTATTACATTTGTACAGACTCTGTTTTTTCCTTATGAATTGTATTTCCACGCAAGTTTGAACATGTTTCAATAAATCACTCTACCTATTTCCCATTTTCCTACCAAAAAAATAAAGAAATTATGAATGACCCAAGACTTTTGCACAGTACAGTTTTATCCAACCACTGCAGTTAACTTTCAGTTTATTCTATCATTCTATTTTTCAAGTCTGATTTGTTGTACTGTTTTGCATTCATAGTTGTACCATCACAGATGGTAAAGTCTTAATAATCTTTTTTTTTAATGATATATTTATTGAATTGGAGGGAAGAACCCTTATGAAAATCACATTTTAAAACTATCTATCCTGCAATTAGTATTGTCAGGTGTTAGATGAATAAAGAACAGTGCCTTGGCTGTTGTACATCCACAGGACCTTCACTCTGTGCTGCCCTTCTTGTTGTTTTTTTCTGCCTTTGCATTTGCATTTGATCTTTTGCGTGTTCTAAAAGTGCCTGGACATTTTCCATCATCTGTGATATTTTTAGCTGTTCTGCTAACCAAAATGAAAACAAGGTCATATCATAGCTCTTCACTGGCCTCTGTGAGTGTTTGAAATGTCCTTAATGATTAAGTTTTACCAACACAGTCAAAGTAGGACTAAGTTATACATTCATTACAAAAACAGGAGAAAATGTTTGAAAAGCGTTTAAAGCAAGATGATTTTTTCTTCCGTTTCTTTATAGATGCACAGGTCTGTTAGGCCATTGAATCAGATGTTAAAAATAGCTTGCAGTTAAAAACACGAACATAAACATTGCACATACAGTTGAGGCTGGTGGTTCTGTCCATGTAAATAACTACTAACATTCTCACGAGCAAAAAAGAGGAAATGACACGTAACCATAGTATGTATTTTTATAAGAAACATATTTATAGATTAGTAGAAAATAATGCATTAAAGTTGTGTTGTTAGTGATTTAACTTCTCAGTATAATCCCAGGTTGCTCTGCCTTCATATGCAAAATC